CTTTCTATCTCTTCCGAGTGATGTGCAATCAAACCGTTGATGGCATAGATCAAGGCGTCTAAATCCACAGAATTGCTGGCATTGAAAACGGCAAAAGTGGCATCCAGTTCTTTGATGTCTTTGAGTTTGCGCTTCAGAAGCGCAATGCCCCCAGCATTCGTGAGCTTATGCTCGCCGGAACCCATCTGGTGACGAAGCAACGAAAAAGATGCCATGTAGCTGTCAAGCTCCGACAATCCAGAACAACTGAGCTCTTGGATCTTGGTGTTAGCCTCCGTGGCTAAATGCGTTGACTCATGCAAGTGCCGCTGATCAACGATGCGGACAGCCTGACGACCACAACCAAACTGTGCACGTGATTGTATCAGCTTGAGGATCTCCGGTCCTTTCTTGCCCTTCTGACATGCGGCAACCACCGCTGCGAAAACATTCACATCTGTTTTGTTCATGTCTACGGACAAGTTTGACGCCAAATCGCCAAAGGAAACCGCTTCATCATCAAGCTCTCTGATGTAAGCCATGGCTGCCACTGGGTCCGGCGCTACACGCAAGATTTGACTCTTCAACGTGAAGCGCCAGCCCTCATAATCAGAACCAGTCTCTGGCAGATCTTTGATGTAGATGCGTCCTGATGTCGCATCGTCCGTCGCCATGGCACCTACAGCTACGGCTGATAACCCTGTGTTGGTCACAGCTCAATCAAGCACGGCTTTGACGCAGCAAGCATTTTTTCACTCGGTCACTTGAGCCAAGGCATTGCCAAGGCAAGTCTGATGCAATCATATGCAATCACTCTTGATTCACGGATGTCATGACATGTAAGGCATCAAACGTGAGCCAAGTACTTAAACTGCTCACATTTAGCGAACCAAAATGGTTTGAGCCAAAATGGCTTGAGCTAAAATGGAAGAGGCCTCGGCGGGTATAGGCCACACAACGCGCGACTGGCGGATATGAATGATCTTTCACCTGCGTCCCGAGCGTTGCTGCTGTCACAAGCTGGACCGCACGCTGCGAGAGTCTTCACAGTTTTGCCGCGTCCTACTCTTGCGGCGACTCCGCCTGCCCCTTCCCCTCGGTCCGCGCGCCTGCTCCTGCCGGGGCTTCCTTGACGAGTATGGCGATCACCGCGCCGCCTGCTCCAACGCTGGCGTCCTTACATCCCGCGAGCTGCCCCTTGAACGCGCTGTAGCCCGGGTTTGCCAGGAGGCCGGCGCGCGTGTCGGGCGCAACGTCGCCTTGTCGGCCATGAACCTCGACATGCCTGTCCACGACGCACGGTGCATCGAAGTCGCGTGCAACGGCCTCAACTTGTGGCACGGCGCGCAGCTCGCGGTCGATGCGACCCTCGTCAGCCCTGTGACGCGCGAGGGGCTGCCGCAAGCCAGGGCTGCCACCCACCCTGGCAGTGCCTTGCGCAACGCTGCGCGCCGCAAGCGGCGGCAAACCTATCCCGAACTTGACCGCAGCCGGCTGTGTCGGCTCGTCGTTTTCGGGCTTGAAGTCTGGGGGCGCTGGGACTCTGAAGCTGCCACCTTCGTGCGCCTCCTTGCTCGTGCGCGGGCGGCCGGCACCCCCGCCGCGCTGAGGGCTTCTGCCCAGGCTGCTTGGGTCCTCCGGTGGAGTGGCATCATTTCCGTCGCTGCGCAAAGCGCGCTTGCGGCTACCTTCCTCGAGCTCCCCGTCCCGTCTGAGGAGCTCTGTGCTGCTGGCACACCCCCAGCCTTGCACGAGCTCTTGGCTGATGCCCGCTGGAGCGAGAGCGAGGTCTCGCCCGGCACCAAGCCGTTTGCCCAGCCGGGCCTAGGTCCCTCCCCCGGGCCCTCGAAGGGGACCCGTGGACTCGACCGACCCTGACTGCGGCGGACGCAAAAACGCGCGAGACAGGGACCGCGGCGACCGTTCGTAAAAAGGCGTGGGGGAAAAAAAAAGTTTGATGCGCCCATCGCAGACGCACGTCGCAGTGAGGTTGTGGCCAACAGCCTGTCCCTGTGGAGCGCAGCTCGCTTACGCTACCATCATCAGCCCCGTCACCTGCAAAAAACGATGCGGAGCGGGGCGTTGTATTAACTTCGTGCACACGGTTCGCCTCTTAAATTGGCTGTTTCCTTTTACCTTTTTCGCGAACGAACTTAATTCGCAGAAATAATAGTATTTTACGGGCGGTCAATAAGTCTTTTATTTCGCCCGTGTATTCTTTTCTCTCGCTTCACTACGTTCGTGCGCTGCTTTCGTTCTGTTCGCGCGCTGGTTTGCGATAGGATTACAGTACGCGTTCTCACTTCGTTCGTGCATTGCTACAAATATAAGGACAAGGGACGCATGAATTGTACTACAAATGCACGCAGGATGTGAATGAACGCAGCGGTTACAGTAAGTTCCAGATGCAAGTCTTGCCCGCGCACTAACGCAGACCAAAGACATCCTTGTCGTCGCGGTTCAAAATTGGGGGGCATATGGGTTGAAGGCACGTGAAGATTGTGCAAAATTTGCACCACTCGTCCTGGAACAATCATGCCAGAGTCACAATCACAATCAGACCTGAAAGCCCATAGAACGGGCCATGTAGAGCTCAGGCAAGAACCCCCATCCGCGCTGACCCCGTGGCCGAGGTTGCAAAGTCAACTCAACGGAGGCATCCCAATGAGCGCCGTCTTTTTCAGCGCTGGCAGCCCGTCACGGCACGCGGCTGGGCAGCTCGTCACGGCACGCGGCTGGCGAAAGCGCTCCCATACTCGAGCGAGCGTGGGTTCGCGGCGCGCGCGAAGCCGTGGCCGTCTGTCGACTGCAACCAGCCGTTGCTCGGCGACGGCAACCAGCCGACGGCAACCACCTGATGCCGCACTGATGCTAGGGGTTTGAGAATCTCGGGTTCCTTGTTTGTGCATTGCTGCGCAGCATCGCCTTCTTTCGACGCAACACCGTGCTCTCCTCGGAGCTGCCCGCGCTCCCCACGTGGGTTTGATTTTTTTCCTGGCACTTTGATTGTTCCCATGTTGTTTGCCTTTGAGCACTGTGCCAATCCCGCCTCCTAATCCGAGCTCCTGTTTAATTGCCCCCCCCCCCCCCTCCCCCCCCCCACTATAAGGAATGCAGGGTTCCGCAATAGTTGGACCATGGCCCTGCATTGCAGATCCCTGAGGTGCTGTAGCTTCGCATCTCCGCAAGCAAAACAAGAAGCCTGCCGACAGATTTTTGAACGCCCCCCCAAAAAACTCCTTCAAATGCGGGGGGGTATCTCCATACGAAATCCACCCTAATGGAAACTAGTCTTCCGGCGGGCTTCCGGCCGAAAAAAAATCTTTAAATGTGGGGGGTTTTATTAAACAGGAGCTCGGATTACCGCCAACGCTCATTGCCATTTTGCTCGAGCTCCTCCTCGGAAGCGTCGCCCCTGCTGCCGGCGATCCGGACTCCCGACGAAGACCTAGTTCCCCGGCACAGCGTAGGCTGCTGGCACAATGTAGGCTGCAATTGCACTGGGTTCACGCACGTGCCGGCTGTAAAAGGTGCGCGTGGGAAAAAAAGAAAGGATAGCATTTTTCCCGACCCTTGGTGTGGGGTTGTCAGATTTTAAACTCAACTCTTCTCCTCGCCCGGAACTTTTCTCCTCGCCCGGTCTACTGATCGCTCATCCCTGGAGTGCCCAACCCCCAAGTGTCCCTGGAATGCCCAACTCTAGAATGTTTCTGGAGTGCCCAAGCGCAGTGCCCAACACAATTTTTTGGAGCCCAGAGTGCCCAGCCCCAGAGTTATGCTGGAGTGCCGGAGTGTCCTTGGAGTGCCCAACCCCAGAGTATCTCTACCAAGCGAGGGTGGGTTCGAAGTACAATAATTATTGTTTCTGTTTACTCGCGACCTTTCCCGCTGGTCAGGGCGGTCCCCAGTGCAGCACAGAGACACGGACCTCGCTGAGGAGCAGCGAGCCCATCAACATTGGCTGTGCCGCCGAGTGGGAGCGACAGGAGGCTGGCTGCTCTGCGCTGCGCTGCGCTGCGCGGCGCTGCGCTGCGCTGCGCTGCACTGCGCTGCGCCGAAGGAGATGAGGGATGACCAACCCAGTGTGAAGGCAGAAATGGCTGCGGCCCTGGAGGTGGCGGGGACGGCCCGTGCCCGGCACCAAGCGAGCAAGCGGTTGGCGGCCTCGCAGCTCCAGCGCCCCTCCAACTTCAAGAGCGATGTCGGTGAGCTTGCAGCGTTGGGCGCGGCAGCGCCTGCAGCGTCATCCTCATCTCAACCTTGGTACACGAGAGTCCTTTATTTTATGCACAAGGCAATGAAGGCTTTGAGTCAGGTTGGTGAGCCCGGGAACGGCTGAAGCGCAACCGTCAGACAGTGCGTCCCGAGGTCTTGGCTAGAAGTCATGAAACCATGTTCCACCATCAGTGCCTATATAGAATGAACAAAGGAGCGCTTCAAAAGCGGCCAACCGGGAACGCAACAGCTGATCTTTGGCTCGTTGCTGGGGTTTCACATGTCCCGGTCGGAGTTGACAACCACGGTTACTTCTACAAAGCTCGCGTGTGCAATAATTAATCGCCGAGCCAGTTGCAACATGCCTGAAGTCTTTGCTTTTTGTTTGTCATTGGCAGCGACGCCCTTGACGCAGGCCACCCTGACCGAGCCGTCAGTGTCGGAACGTGTCTCAACTCTGTCGGTGTACGCCGCAAGTAGTGTTGCTAGTTTTAGTTGAGCCCATGAAGCGCCTTACGTTTCAGCGATGCCGTCCAATAGCGTCTAGCTTTCTGGACCTTGGCGCCCAACAAGTATTTTTCCATTTTATTGATACTGGAACGAAACAAACGAATGTTGTGCTGAGACCGCGTGGAGCATGTGGAGCCTTGGCATGCCGGCCCCTTTGACCGCAATTAGCCGTTTCCAGAAACAGGATGACATTGGAACATTGGCAATCTGTGTGTGACAGCAAACACCCAGTGTTTCGGCGCAGCTTCAGCTTTCATGGTACTGCCGTTATGTGATTTATCCGAAGCATCGACCCAATGGCGTCAAATGAAGCTCCAACAAGCACGCGAAGGCCAGACAGGATGCCACAAGTTTGGCAAATGCAGTGAAATGCTTTCTCCAGGCCCGTGTCTTCTGCCAACGACGCCTGATCTTGAGATGGATATCTTGGGTAGCAGTCCAGAAGGCCATGTTGCTGCTGACAAGAATCAAGGCACCTGCTGGAACTCTTGGCTCTCGTTCTCGTGCCCAATCACCTGGCTCAGTGAGGAAGGCATGTGGGTAGGGCGTAGGAGTGACACAGGCGTGCATCAACAAACGGACGCTGATACATATTTCTGGCAAGGTCGATTTGCCTATGGATTCCGCAGGCAAGAAAAGCTCCGGTGCGGAGGTGTTCGTTTTTCGTGGGCAGAGATATGCAGAGATGTGGGCAAGATGTGGTGTCGTCACGAGGAGTCAAGAGCAACAGATCCGGCCCCGAGATGCGGCCAGTTCCGCATGGTGATGTGCTGGATGTTGTGTCTTGCCAGCATATGTTGGGAGCCGCGACAGCTCTTTGGGATGCTAGAGGGTTACTTTGCCGAGCTGCGATTGCTGCAGGAACGTAGTTCCATGGCAGTTGCGTTAGTTTGCGCAAGGTTTGGCTGCAGGCTCACTTGCCAAGCCAATCGAATTATCTTCGGAGCACTCTTGCCCGAGATTCGGCAGGCAGCTTTTGGACATTTGTTGAGTTGTGCCTGATCGCGCCGTCAAAGTTTTCTCACGAGGACATCCAGCTTTCCGATGCCGAAGCTGGAAGCTTGCTGTCTGCATTTGCTTCAGGCCTTAACATCCCATGCCGACATTTTTCGGAATCTTGGACTGACTACAACATAACTATAAATGTAATCATGGTCCAGGCTACATGCTGACGCAGATCCTTGGGGGTGCGTTGGCCGATCGAATTGGGGGCAAGTGGATCTTGCAGCCTCGGCCTCAGACAGAAGAGTTGCGCCATGTTGCGCCGTTGCACCCGGGGTTTTATGCTGTAAACTTCTGCAGCGTGTATAGACTGGAGTCTCCAAATGCAGTCGTTGCACCATCAACAGTCTTTTGCTGTGGCACGCGCTCCATTTGGATCAACAAGTTGAGGGCCTTGTGTTTTATGAGCCAAACGCTGAGGATTGCCATTTGCGCAGTCAGCATAGCTCTTAGCTTCGACATGTTTCGAACCCCGGCAGTGTTCGAAACTTCTTCGCTTGCTCAGGTTTGGGGTCGATGGTGGCGCCACTTGCGCTGCAAAAGGCGCTTGCCATTGTGAGAGGGAGATTGTCGTTGACCTTTGCAGGCTTGCATGATGCTGCATGATGTTGCACGCATGCGATCTGTCAGGGCTTCTGGGCAACGTACTGCACTTACTTTGCGGCAGGCTTTCTGGAGGCAAGCATATGCCAGGACTTCTTCTCATGATACTCCATGGACCTGCACCAGGGGCCGTCTTTCCCAACGACCGGGTCGATGCTGTCTAGGTGGATCCCTGCCCGTGTCTCACTGACAACACACTGTAAAAGTGCCTGCATCTTGACTTGTCTTGACGATTGAAAGTGATAAACATGGATGTGTCATGTGTGCTTTGAAGCTTCAGGCCAAAGAACGGTCCACCGCATCTTCTTTGGCCGACACAGGCGGATCCATTGGTGGGCTGCTAGCTCTTGGAGGCCCCAGTCAACACCGTGTGCCATACATGGCCGCCGATCATTGCTTTTCAACGAGAGGCGGCCCTATTTTGGCATCGTGGTTGGGTTGGCAACTGACTTTTGCTTTGTGCTTGGCCTCTACCATGCTGGATCTTGCATCCGCGCATTTACCGAGTGCTGAGAGTGTTTCGAGGTAGTCTATGGAGGATTGTCCAGCTGTTTCTGCATTGCCAGGGGCTTACAAGAGACCACGAGATGTTGCAGATCCTGCCGGCCTACTGGTCTTCAAGATTACGCCTTATCTTGCTTCTAGCAGCCTCGCGCGTGCACCTCGTGGTGCGCTTCTTTGAGCGCCTCGCGCACTTCGCGCACACAGCTCCGCCGCCCCACACGGACACCGTGCACCACGTTCACGTGCGCACCCTGATGCACCCTGTGTTCAAGCGCGCGCGCCCACGCACCTCGCGCATGCGTTTGGATTCGATTGGAGGAGGCTGCGAGCTGCAGCAGCTGTTGAGTCCTGATGCAGGACGAATGGTGGGAATGGTGGGTTTTGGGGCGTAATGGTCAGGAATGGGGGGGGGGAGCGGCGGGAATGGTGGATGTACCGGGCAACATTCTTTAGAAGTTTGCTGAACGCCCTCGTCAGAATCCCACTATGGCCGAGGCGTGGCTGGGCATTGCCTCCAGCTCATCCCTTAGTCTGATGTCTGGTTGTGCAGGTGGTAAGGTTTAACTTCGAGGTGCTTGGCACGCAAGGCTTGCCGTCATCAAGCCCGTTCATGTCCACTACAGAGCTACAGATGCTCATCAGCGAGGCGGCGTTCGCAAGACTTTTCTTCGGTTTTTAATGTAGCTCGACGGAGCATCGCATTTGTGGCAGGGAGTGGTGAGCAACTCCCACCAGGCCAAAGGGGGTCGAGGCGATGTTAAGGCGGGGGTGCTTGCAACACACATGTGTTTCATTAGCAAAAGTTGCGCAGGGGTCTACTGCATGACCACCTGCCGACCCATGCCCGTCAGAGATATTTCACCTGCAGGTTCAAGGCCTCTCGTGGCGCATGTTCTTTTCGCCACCAGTCCTGGCTGTATGTTATGCCCATGCGGTGTTCAATTTCGGGAGGCCTCTGCATCATGCGCACATGTAATTGGCTGACTGTGAGCATGGTTTGTGATGGTTTGTGGGCTGTAGTCTTGCGTATGGTGAAATGCAAGCTGGTCTGCATACAGGTATTTCCTGTATGGGTGGATCCCGACATTTTACAACCAGGCTGGGCTGCACCTGCTGCACAACGTTCATTGGTGTGTCTTGGAGTGTTCCCTACAATCAGGTATTGGGTGTGCCGGCGGCTACGGCCGCGTTTTACATGACGTGCCTCCAGGCGGTGGAGCCAACCCTTTGATTTGAAGTGGCCTCAAAGGCCTCTTGCGGGCTCAGGTCGCTGACGCATTTGTGAAGCTCGTGGTGGCTCCTTTCGCTGATCAGCTTGTCGCTTCGGGAAGGTCACAGGGCTTTAGATATGGGGGTTGCGCAGTTCCTGGCAGCCTTTCGGCAAGCTTCATCTGCACGCAGGCTCTCGATCTTGGGGCTGCGCAGACTGTTGAGTTGCATCGGCTTTCTTGGCCGGGCACACAGACCAGAGCGACAGCGAGGGCATGTTGAGGGCATGTTTGAAAGGTCCATGCAAGCAATCTTTGTGTGAGATAGTTCGTGAGTGCAGTACAAAGGAGGACATGTTGTCATTCTTGTTCTTTCTGTCGCGCCCCGCGCTGCGTCTTAACCTCCCTCGCGTCCCCGCTCCCACATCCTTCCCACCTTGGACCCTCTCTTAAGAGACTTCTATTCTCAGAGGCGTTCAGCGGGCAGGTGCATTTGCGCGTTTCGGGGCGTTCCTGAATCACCGCTCGCAAAACCATCGCAAATACCGTGGTGATGGAATTTGCCCAGTGCCAAACCCTTTGTAGGATTTCACAGCGTGCAGAATCTTTGGAACTTGCGAAGCTCGTGCAGATGTTGTGGTGACGGAGTTCGCCGCTGTCGCCGCCTGCACAATATCGTGGTGACGCAAGTGCCGGAACTCCGGATGCAAAACCCAATACGGGGTGCCCGAACTCTGGCCCTGCACAGCCCTTGCCGTGCATGCAAGATCCGTGCATGCAAAATCCGTGCGTGCTAGATCCGTACATGCAAAATCCTCGCACATATCATGGCCCCCGAATTTCGCACATGAAGAGGCCTCACCAATACCATGGTAGGTGAAGGTTCAAGGCACTGGGGCCAGCATGCTGGCTGACGGTATAACTCTATGTGTACTGTATAGTGAAACAAGTACGGTACACAGCATCCTCAGAGTATCCTAAGTATCACGCGCTTGGTAAAGGTATTTCAGGTGAGTCCCCTTGTCGAAGGAGAAAACTACCCCGTGCTTGACAACAAGAATCACAATTTCTGATTGTTGACCGGGGAGGTTTCGGTGGAGCGATGGGGCTCTGCTCCTTGATTACTTCACCGGCACTTGTCACTGCTGCGCTGGCACGGAGCTCATGGTTCGCTCGGTCAGGTAGGCCAAAGAACTGTGTACTGATCGTGAGGTGGTCGGCAAGAGCGCTGCTTCCTGCCATGCTGCAGGGTTCAAGACCAACTATCTGGAGCGCTTTGCTTGCCGTTCATGATATTTTCGCATCTGCAGAGTTGCCAAAGTTGCATATGTGTGTGTGTGTTTGCGCACGAGCGTGCTTATGTGCGTGCGCGCACCCGCGCGCACGCGCGCGTGCGCGCGGGGGTGTGTGTGCGCGGGTGTGTGTGTGTGTGTGTGTGTGTGTGTGTGTGTGTGTGTGTGTGTGTGTGTGTGTGTGTGTGTGTGTGTGCGCGGGTGTGTGTGCGCGGGTGGGTGTGTGTGTGTGTGTGTGCGCGTCAAAATGTCACAGGACATAAGCCGAGCGCACACTGGATCCATCTCTGGATTTGGTAACACTCTTGCGACGTTGTCAAGCACAGCTGCTCCGCTGATCGCTGGTACCGTGATTCAGGCCAGTGACTGCCAGTAGCATACGGGTTCGAGTTTGCGCCTCTTCCTGTCCGCAACTGGGTGCTTTAGGCCAGCGGTTGGAGCTCCATGTTTTCCATCTGCTTTGCTGTGAATGTGCCCTAACCTTACTTCTTGCTGACCAGCCTTTGCTGCTGCTTTCCGTGTTTCGAACTGGTTGCTGGTGTTTGCTATGGTATTCTAAAATTTTCTGGTCCTGGCCCATCCATCCTCGAGGTCGGGAGCGCTAGTGTTCGGCTTGCTGTCTTCGGCCACCAATCTTGATCCTGTCTTGAAGGAGGCATACGCACTTCTGTGCCCACACGTCTTTGCCCCACGTGTTCATGCTGTGTCATTCTAGTCCACATCCCGCCAGGACTGAGTGGTGGCGGAACAATCCAGGGCGTGTAAACCTAGTCGCTTTGGACATCAATCAGCAGCAGGGAGGAAAAGGTCTTGCCCTTTGCGCTTTTGATTGCAGAAGTGGTGTAGGTAGGGAGACCCAATTGAGCAGTTGTCTTGAGCCCAGGAGGTGCGTAGAATCATGTCCAGTTCCAGAATCTTTCAGCTGAACAACTGGTGGTGAGCAATCCAAGCGGCCCACCCAATCGTAAAGTATATCGCTAAATCCGTCCCTTTGGCCACAGTGTCGTTGATTGACAACCTTTGAGAATTCATTCAGCCTAGTATGGCCCAAAGTATGGAGTTTTTTCACAGATAAAACGGAGAACCGTTGTTAGCCAGATTGCACAGACACCAACATAGATCTGCATTGGCTTCGCTTCGTTCCCCACGGCCACTTCCCACACGAAAAAAGCTGTTATATTGACACTTCCTGGCGCGTGATTTAACAACAGTCAAATATGACCAGTGCAGCAAGGCACCTTTGAAAATGTGGGTGCAGGTCGAGTAGCGATTGTCGAGTGAGATGCCAGTTTAAGGTTGGAACCATGGGCCCTCAGTGTGGTCCCTTACCCTTGCTTAAAGGGGTTGGAGGGATCCGAAGTATGGTGTATATCAGGGTTATAGAATCGGGGACCCACATTGAGGGCCCTCGCACGAGTTTCAACCATCAGGGCAAGCAGCCCACGAAAAGGGGGGCCGGTATACAAACCGTAGCCCTTCCGGACGAGCGGAGTGAATGTCAGCATGACATATTGTCTGGGTAGCCTATTTCGTCACATCTCTGCGCCTTGCATAGTGGCAAGAGTGATAGCATGGGTGCTAGACAGGACACTGACCGTAGCGATGCTGGCCACGGTATACGGTGTTTGTTACCCACCGCACGCACAAGAACTAGATTCACTGCAACATACCCTAGTTAGCATATCTGACTGTAATATAACTACACTGAACATGCATTGAAAATATTTCAAAAGCATGGACTGACATCATACCTGCAATTTGGATAGTATACATTGAACGGATGAAACACCATGTTATCTTTGATCGCTTTTATGTCTGATGCATCAAAGACTTCAATCTAGCAACATGTTAATCCCAAACCAACTGACATGATTGTAATTATCAGCAACATGTGAGTACCACTTTCATGTATTTATGCATGATACTTGAACTTGATACTGTAATGCACAGAGTAATTCCAAACCGAAATTCAAATGATCTTGTTCCGACACACTTGCTGACTTGTTGAATGAATTAATGAACCCAGTAATAGCCAACATAACAGTGGAATAAAAAGATATATATATATACACATATATATATATATATAGATTTCTAGAAAAATGAGAAATTTCAAGGCAGTGCACACCCTTCTACTGCAACATGCAACAAGTCCAATAACTGTAAGAAGTAACTATACAGTTGTCCATATATTTAGATTCAGAAAGCATGGCTCAACATACTATGAGTTCTTTTGCCAAAACACTTTTTGCCCATGAATCATCGACAGCAAACTGATATCCGATATGAAGCATCTCGTGTTTCATATATATATATATATATATATACGTTATTGACGAACCAAATCCTTTTGCATCACTTCTTACAACGTCTATTATGATATTGAGCATCACACACAAATTCATTTAGTATTCCAGGCAATGCATCATCATCACATATACGTTCAGCTTGATTATCATTGCTATTATGGAAATTGTTTTAAAGCTTTAGTTCTTTCAGTTATTATTGTGATATGTACGTATATATGTATACATATATATATATATAGATTCCTTGATATATCGTTATTTCATTCAACTTCATTCATTAATACATCAGCATGTGTTGTAATCATTGTCTTACATGTTTGCAGCTTTGTTGCGAGTGTAGCGTTGTGAACATCACAGTAATGGTTCATCTACGTGCTTGCCTTCCGGGACGTTTGTGTTGCGTCCAAGCCAGCTACGAAGACGTGGCCGGCAGCGTCGGCCTTCAATCTTGCGAGAAGGTTTCTGTGATTCTCTGATGCTTTGGATGAGCAGTTGTCAATGCTTGTGAGACGGATGCTGACACCACACATATCAAACGCCGCTTGCATAGATACGAACTTGTTTTTGGATGCCTGTTGTTCTTGATTCGGCACGGCTCTGAAGCTGCTCCTTTCGTGTGTGACACGAGCTTGAGCTGGAACAGAAATGCGATTAGCTCCGCGAATGAAGATGACACTCCTGTCAGTCTTTCTGACACGGCCTGCGATTGCTTGTGTTATTTCCGACTAAGAAGTCGGGTCGGAGGCCAAATCCGGTTGCCTGGAAGCGCTAGCCGGTTGCCTTTTCTGGGCTCGGACCGCACATGACCAAATGACAGTGTAGTTGTACACCTTGTTCCCCATCCCAAGCATGTAATGTGTCTTGTCGACTTGCTGAGACAGCGCTTTCCCGTTGAATAAGGTGGCAAAGCAGCAAATAAGTGTTTATCTCTTTTATAACTGTAGAGCTGTAGAGCCCATACAACGCGATGGGCATAGGAAGTCTGCCTGGCATGTTTGGTGCAAACTTTGACAAAACGCCGGCTGAATTACTGCAGACGGTGCTTGTTGGGTGGGCGAAGGTTCCATTGCGGAAAGTAGCTTTCTCAGCGCCCTATGAGTGTGTTGTTGACATGTGGAGCATGCCGCTCAGCAGAACGATCTCCATGTGTGTGCTTGCAAGGCCCTGACGACTGGCATTTGGTCGGAAGCCCAGGAAACATTGATGCTTGCTGTGGCCAGGGTGCTTCGTGTGTCGATCAGGATGTGCGAATACCTGGAGTGCAGGCCAGTTGCAGGACTGCGTTGTCTTATTGCATGTGGTTCGATGCAGGCGCTCAACAACTTGTTTTTCACCAGCGGCCGGAATCACATCTTCCGCCATGCTTATGTTTCGTGATGTCCCATATTGGAACCTGATACTTGGTTTCGCTTTGTTCTTCCAGGTTGCAGTGGGCGACAATGGGACGCTGAAGCGGCAGTTTTTTCTGCACTTGTCCACGTGCAGGCCTTATTTCTCCTTGCAAGCTAAGCAATCTGCAATAGACGCTTTTCTGCATGTGTCCAGCTTTCTTTTCAGACATGGTGGGTTGGGTGCGGGTGCCTGTGCCTGTTCCTCTGCCTCTGCCTCGCTGCCTCTGCCTCGGCGCCTCTGCCTCGGCGCCTCCGCCTCTGCGCCTCCGCCTCTGCAGGCGCCTCCGCCTCTGCCGCCTCTGCAGGCGCCTCCGCCTCTGCAGGCGCCTCCGCCTCTGCAGGTGCCTCCGCTACCTCCGCCTCCGCCTCCGCCTCCACCTCTGCCTCCTCTGCCTGCCTGCCTCTGCTGCCTCTGCTGCCTCTGCTGCCTCTGCTGCCTCTGCTGTCTCTTCTGCCTCTTCTGCCTCTTCTGCCTCTTCTGCCTCTTCTGCCTCCTTCTGTCTTCTGCCTCTTCTGCTGCCTCGTCTGCCTCCTTTGCTTTTTTTGCTGCTTCTGCCTCCTCTGCGTCATCTACCTCATCTGCCTCTATAGCTCTGGCATCTAGATGCCTAGATCATGGATGTACCTGATCACTCCCTCGGGCAAGTCTTATCACAACAAAGCAGGGGGAAGATCGCTGTTGTGTTCGACATGCATTACAAGCACTCCGATCAGCTATATTGCTATCTACCCGCGTTTGCGGTGGAGTGCATATGCAAGGGGACTGCATAGGAATGTTGGAGCGCGTGCAGGATCTCTGCCTTCCCATTTTCGGTTCTCCTTCTCAGTGTTTTGCAAGGGCTTGTGCTTCTGACATGAGTGACTGCGGTAACAGCGGCTAATGCAACACGGTTCAGTCAGACAGTTCAGCCACCGTCCAACACGGTTCAGTCAGACAGTTCAGCCACCGTCCCCTCCCTTCCCCCCAGCCTGCAGACAAGTTACGTGCACGGCAGCACATATATGCACGTATAATGGGTCAAGCCACCCAGCTACGAGCTGCTGCGCATGAATCCTCGCGCAGCAGCGCGGACCTCTGGGCACTCCGTTTACATATGATGCAGCTGCAGCCACCGGGCGATGGAGCCGCGTTGGCAGTTGGCAGCCACCAATTGCGCACCCACAACACCTTCGGCATGCCCGTACGCCCACACCCACCGTGAGCTTTCCCGACATGACGCGCCTTCCTGCAGCAGCATGCAGCAGCACAACGCACCGCGCAGATCAACCCACAACACACACCAGCTGCTATCCCAACCCAACACAACATGCCAGTCACAGCCCAACCACCCACAAGCATGGGTGCAGCACTTTTCACGGCGGCCGACTGCAAGCTGTTGTGCAGCAGGTCAAAGATGACCTCATGCAACAGATGCTTCAACTCCAACGGCTCAGCAAGCAGCCCCGCGCTACAGCCGCAACACGGCCCTTCCGCAAGGCGGCACGCCCAACAGCCTGTCGGCCGACGCAGCAAATCAAGAAAGCAATGTCGCAGGACGAACATGTCTTCAAGACACAGTCGCCCCTGTCGTGGACGACGACCGCGACATACCCTTCACACATCACGCACCGTCTCCACACAACGTCGACACCGATCCACGCAATTTTCACGTACAACTTCTTACGAAGAGTGGGTTGTTCAACTGGGTTCTATGTTGTCTCGTCATATTCAGTCTTTTTCTCAGTTTTTGCCACCCCATCGGTTGTTTCATTTTGCGTGTGATGACTCCCCAGAGCCAAGGTTGTTGAACAAATGCGGAGTCTTCAGGTACAGCTTACCCGTATTCATTCAGCCGCTTGTTCCCTGAACTGGCTTGTAGATACCGAGCTTCCCACAGATCCTCATGAAAGATGTTCACTGGTGGGGTGGGGGTGGGGGTGTGGGTGCCCGGGTGCGTGGGTGCGTGCGCGTGCTTCTGTACGTTGTTCGCGTGCGTGCTTGGCGCGTGTGCGCGTGTACGCGTGCGGGTGCTTCCTTTTGACCGAAGCAACAACCAAGGAACGAGCCCCTCCGGGACGCCACGTCGATGGTTTGGTGGACCAGCAGCTCTGCGCCCAGCCTTCCGTAGCTGTTGCTCACAGTGGCGAATGTCCAGCAGTGTCAAGGTGGTGGCGCGACCATGTTGCAGCTGCAGATGATGATGCCGCAGCTACTGCATTTGATTTGTTTGTGCCTGGGCAAAATGCGGATCTTGAGCCAAAAATGACTTTTCCTCCATTCTGGCATCTTGTGCTAAACTTTATCCTGCGGACCAGCGTGGTTAGGCCACCGATCCGGCGGGCTGTCAGGTCAATTTGTACGAGGCGGGATCGGGCAGACGTTGGATCATGAGAGCGTCGTTTCTTTGTCTTTAGGTGTTGACGTGTGCGGCCATGCTTTCTCCGAACTTGCGACGGGAAGCCAAGGCCGGGGTTGGTTAAACGCTTTTTTGATGCGTGTTTGCAGAGCTTGTGAAACATGTCCACGAGGCGGCCATACTCTGCTTGATTTGGAGCGGTCGCGCTCTAAACCTGCAGAAAGTCTCGACTGTGTGCTGCTGGATGCTGCTGGCATCGTGTGCGTGCGGCCAACATTGCCCCAGGTCGCGAAGATGGTCGGCTCGGGGTGTCTGCTGTCGTGGGGCTGTTGAGCTCACTTCTGCTGCGAGCCAAGAGTTTTGTAGTTTTGCAGTTTTGCACCTTGCAGCAGAGGATTGAGAAGGATGTGACAACCGCGCTTGAAGTGAGCATCTTGAGCTTGCAGGCAAGGCCTCCACCGCCTGGGCGTTTTAGTGCCGTCTCCGCCGCCTTCCGAGGAGTCTTGCGCCTTTGTGTGATTGACATGGGGCTTACTGAAGATGGCATCGGCCGTGAGGACATTGAAAACGATGTGTGCCGATTGTCGGGGCCTTGTTCTGTCAACCAGGCCTTCAGAGATCTGGAATGCGCTGTAATCAGATTATGGGTGCTGCGAAAGCATCAGCCATGCCGGGGTGATGCAATCGCTTACGAGGCTTGGTGCCAAGGTTGCACATGCTGCGTGCAGGCTGTCAGTATCGGTCAGTTCTCACTTCCGCCTCTGCGAGGAGCTACTGTTAGTGGCCGACTTGGACGCAGGTTTCGTGAATGCCCCAGGGAACAAGTGGTTGTCAGTGGTTGTGCTACATGCGTAGGACAACATCCAGGGTCAAATTTTCGGAAAGGTTGACACCTGGACGTGGCGTTTAGAACTGCCTTGCAAACCATGTCCCGACACATTGCTGGCCATTAAGCCACACCGAGGCCTTGTTCCTGAATACCTTCAGCTGCTGCTTGGCCGGTGACAGTGGCCAGGAGTCTGCTGAGGTTCTGCCCGCGCAGGCATCGGCACCGGCACTTGGCAAGTACCACTCAGGGGAGAGAGCCCAGAACGAAAAGACGATGGACAAGAAGGGCTGGTTGCGCAAAGAATACAAGACCCGAGGAGAAACCACAGACGTCCGAGAAGAGGGGAAGCAAAAAAAGTCAGCAGGAGTAGGAGGTCCAGGTTGCAACCTTGTTGGCAAGACAGCCGCGTTGCAAGGGCTTCCACAGTCCCAGTGTCTGGCCATGTCTAGCGGTTCCTGTCTCGCCCATTCCTCCTGCTCCTCATTCCTTTGCAGTGCTTGCTCGCCCTCCGCCGTATCTGGCAGCACCTTGGCAAACAGCTCTATCCGGGACGTGTGAGCTTGCGGACGCACCCCCCTTAACATGTGCGAGATCAAACGCAGGAGAGGGGCCCGTTGGAGATTTTTGAAGGGGAACTAGGCCACACTCTGTGACTTGCAACAAAGCCCTGGACAAGCCGTTAGTTTCAACTCGGGAAAGAGGGAGAGTGTGGCAAGAACTATGTTGGGAAGACCAATCCCTAGTGAACGGCTCAGCATGCTCTGCAGGCAAGGGGAGTTGGACGTTCTCAGCGGCCGAGTGAGGCATCTGCCAGTTTCTTCGTTGACGTGACTTTGCAACAGTTGGGCTTCGTGCACAGTGGTTTGGCACATTCCAGCTTGAACATGTGCTCATTTTGTATCGGTCCGTCTCCATGTGTTTGAGCACAGCCTTCATTCAAAACGGGCACGAGCGATCGGACGCCGAAAGCATTCTGTTTTACTTTCAGTTCTCTGATGTCTGATTTCTTTGTGGTAAATGGGTCAAGCTAATCAGCACCGGCCAGCAGCAGATCGGAAATCGGACAAGGGAACGGGCTGCTTAATGCCGAAGACAAAATAACAGGCCAGCAGCGCCATACCCCTTTGGCTGTGCACTCTGTTTGGGAGGTGCTCGGCCCCGGCCGTGGGCGAAAGGGACGTGCGCGTGGCAAGGATGTCAAGGATGTCAAGGACATCAAGGCCAAGCCCGGCAAAGGCTCGCCGGCGGAAAGCGTTGTGAGAGTGAGAGCGTTGCCCAGCCTCTCGAAAGGCTTACAACCACGTCTTGAATTTGTGACGATCGGTTTTTGGCTATTTCGAGCATCGACTTGGCTTAAGGGAAAACTGGAAGAGTCTGGAGGATTGCTTGTAGCAGGTGCATGCGTGCGTGCTCTAAGCGGGGTCTGCTTGGTGTGAGAGCGATGTTTTTTTTTGAATTCTTGTTCATGTGCAGTTCATGCATGATGTGTAGGTTAACCGGCAGCCAGTGCAGCCTCAAAAAATTGGAGGGTTGAGGTTGCAAAGGCTTGTGCGGTCTTGCTGTAGGTGGCTTGCGCAAAGTACTTTCTTCTTGTTCTCCACCCCAACCTCGAAGAAACTGGCGGTTGTGTTTGCTTCCGGTAGCGATCTCTGTCTGTAGGTTCCTGTGTGTTGTCATGTTTGGATAGGGATGAATCAGACACTTCTTCAAAACAAGGGTTGGTTTTGTCTTTGCCCGTTGAGGGCTTGAGATGAATGGATTTCATGCCCAATGCTGCATCACTGGTCAGGCACATAACCAAGTCGCTGCAGCTGATCAGTCGCTGTAGCCAGACCTTGGCTGAGATTTCGAGGCAAAGAATTCAATTCCCACGGGGGTGCGGCGGCAAAGAACCTTGCACCGGACGCCAAGAAGGTAGGTGGCCGTCGGGGTTACCAGGGTGAAGCGCTTCGAGTATTAAGTCAGACTGCGACCGCCTGACCCTTGTTGTTGCAGTCAATGGCGCGTGTAACGCATGAAGGTGTCAGCCACAACTGCTTCGGCGATCATGAGCCGGAGAGAGGCTGACTTTGCTTGATTGCTTGTTTGACACGTGCCTCGGTTTGACTGCAGGTGCTGGAGGCTTTCGAGACTTTCAAAGCTATCCGGGCCGAGCAGGAAATCGCCGCAAGTGTGGCTTGAACGGCAATCCCGGAATCCCATTGCCTTGGAGGAGCGCCTGCCGCGCAGGAAGGGTGCAGACACTGCAGCAATCAGATCGTGGCATGCTTAGCTGACAAAGCTTGCCTGAATGCCTTCGGCCCATCATTGGCAGAATCATGATAATCCGAGGCTTGAGAAAGTCAGGATGCCCCAAGTGCAGATGGCAATAAGGCGCTTGCTGTCGCGCATAGCCCAGAATAAATCTGCAGCTGTGCCGCGCCTCTGGGACCTGTCAAGTGTGTCACGAAGTTGCTTCCAGCTCAGGCGTGGACAAGCACTGGAACTGCGAGACTTTCTGCGGATGCTGGCGCTTGCGAAGGCTTATGGGTGCGGCAAAATTCCGATTGATTCAGCCCATGCTGCATTGGAAGGCACCGGCCGCGTTTTGTGATGGGCACCTGCTACTTGGCTAGAGCTGCCGAAGACACGGGGCAATATTTGCAACACACGCAATGCCTCATTGGAGTTGGAGCAGGCGCATCTTCGAGGCTTGGATTACGGAGCGCGCCGGGAGCCTTTTTGAAGGCTTTGCACGAGATGAGGCGACACGTAACAGTTTGCTGAAGGTTCAGTTCACCGACTCAGAGCTCATAAAGTACCGCTTGGCCTAGGTCTCGGTGCACGTAAGCATTTCTGAGGGATGGAGTCGTTGAACTTGTTGGGCACAGAGATGCCCTATGAGTTGAACGCGGAGCCGGCAGATTATTGTTGTCGTTCTGCAGCGACAAATGGAAAACCCAGCCTTGGCTCTCTTGCAGCTAAGGACAAGCCGCTGCCAGCCTTTAACCTAGCATGTGGAGCGCACCATCGTGTGATATGGATTATGTCTACTGGTATGATGTTCATGGCAAACTTTGAGCACAAGGGATCTCAGTTCTAATGCATTGACGTCATTGGCTGCTGTGGATCATGAGTCAGCGGTAAGTCCATGCACGCGTCAGGGCAAGCCCGCATAAGCCCTTCAAGGTCTCGCTGCCGGGCGCGCTGGGATCAAACAGCGGTTCAGAAGCTGGCCGCAGGCGTTTGCAGGCAACAGATGCAAGGTTTCACACGCCGGGCCGCTGTCAACCCCGGCCACGCGGCAGTTAACATCCCTCGAAGTCCCAACCAATTGACGTTCCTCAGGCGCTGATGAGGCGTGCTCGTGCTCCCAGCACCCAGGCAAGTTGCAGGAAATTGCTGGGCCTTGTTGTTGTTCTTGCTTCTGCTCGAAAGCAGCTGGCGCGCAGTAACTTGCAGGCTTGGTTGCAGCGTCAGCACTGCGCCTTGACCGGAGATATAGAGAAGTCCTACCAGGCCCGGCCGCGTGGAAGGCTTCAATTCGCAAAAATGACATCTCCGATCGCTCAGTGCACACCATGTATCAAACCAGGCCTCCCCTGCAGCAAGCACGGGCCTCAAGGGCAGGGAACGAAATTGAGAATGCAAGAGCAGCCTGAGACCTGCTTTGTGCAGGTGACTATGTACTCACCCTGGAGCAGATGGTTGTCCAGGCAGATTTGATGCTTGCAAGCTTGCTTTGGAACAGGGCAGTGCAACGTGCAGCTTTGGCAGGGTGTGCTGCCGGGCGAGCTAGCAACAGCAGCTGCGAGAACCTTCGGCCTGGGTCTGACGTTGTACGAGTCCTGTGTGGGTCTCCTTTCCGCTTTATCCATCTTGTGACCCTCTCAGGCTGGGATGGGGCTCATCTTGTCAGTGAAGGAGCGTTTCTGGAGCTCTTTGTGCCGTCCACGCCGGAGGCCACAAGAACCACAACACAAAAGAAGCAACGAAGCAACAAAACAGGTGTTTGACGGTGTGCTGTCTGTATCTATGGAACATTCTTGGACCTAGCGCTCGACAGATGTTTGCTAAACTCTGCGCTCCCGGGAATCGTTGCCAGGATTTCCACACTTTGGACGCTTGGCTCATTCAGAAGATGTGCACAGCCTAAGTCTTGCACGTTGTACAAAAAGCACCCCAGCTGCCATCAGGATTTCATGCGCGCCTTCCGGCGTGCTTGGCTGTTTGTGACCGAGACGCAGGTCTGACATTGAAAAAGAGGGTGCCTCAGCGACGCAGCTGGCTTTTGCTGCACAGGAGTCCGTTGGTTGTCCATCGCCAGAGAGAGACAAGGACACCCCCATATGAGATCTCTCTGCGCATTTTCGGAAGCTGCAACTGGGGCAGCTCACTGGGAATCCCTCGATGGGCAAACCAGGACGGAAGCTGGCTCTTTGGGGATGGCGAGCTCGAGGCATGTTCCAGTGAGGAAAGGAAGGTGTTTGATGCGGTGCTGCAGCTGCATGCGTGAGTGGCTTGTGGCGGAGTGTTGCAGGTTTGAGACTGCGCAAACCGTCTGGGTTTGCATGATATTCGGCACTCAGGGAACCATTTCAGAAAGAAGATTCCAGGAGCGACCTGGCCATGCCCAATAGACTTGTAAGGTACTTGGCTTGTCCAAGTGCCTTGAAATGACAAGATGCCAAAACTCGAACCAGTTGCACAACAACGACCCAGATACATGCATACCTTCGACGTCAAAATTTCGACCAGGGCGAGGCTCAGCTTTTCCTCGGCCGCCCCCTACGGCCGAGCTCTGCGCCGGCAGCCACCGGAGGCTGTGTAGATGTTGCCACAGTCACAGCAATGTTCCGGTGCAAGGCTTGTAAACATTGGCTCAGACGGTTACAGGTATCTAAGAAAGTTTCCAAATCTGATGCTGCCATAAAGCAGGTCCGGCGTCTGGCGTGGATGTTAGTGTCGCCGAGACTGGCGAACAGGCACGCGCGCTACGCACGCCTGCAAGTCTCATGTTGCACCTGCTTTTGTGCCCCCCCCCCCC